GGTTAGGTGTTGTAAGGCATGGCTTCGAGAAGGCCGTACGCAAAGAGCAAGGGGCACTGGACGCCGCCGTAGAACAACAGACCGTGAAGATCGCCGCCTAAGATTATTGGCCTTAAGGGACCGTTTCTCCACTACCAGGTCCATTGCAAATGAATGGTTTGCAGAACACGGAAGACCTATTGGCATGCGAAGTGTTTACCGACGAATGAGAATTTTGGCTTGTTTTCATACCGGCCACACTGGGTCCTCCCTTTAACTCGAGAACACCGACGTAATCGCCTTGAGTGGTGCAGACAACGGTCACTCTGGGATCAGGAATGGAACAGTATTGTCTTTAGTGACGAGTCTCCGATTTGTTTAGGCATGCACGATGGTCGTGCCAGGGTTAGAAGGCGACGTGGTGAAAGGAGGAATCCACAGTTTTTTGTTGAAAGACATGTTCATCACACTATTGGAGTTATGGTTTGGGGTGCTATAGCTTATGGTTCCAGGTCACCTTTAATCTTCATCAGAGGTAACATGAACGCGCAGCGTTATATCCACGAAGTTCTAGAACCCCATCTTTTACCTCTGGCAGATCCAACTTTCCAACAAGATAATGCCCGACCACATGTTGCAAGAGTCACAATAGACTTCTTTCAACATAATGATGTCACATTGTTACCATGGCCACCAAGATCTCCGACTTATCCCCAATTGAGCACGTGTGGATATGATGGGTTGGAGATTGCTCAATTTGCAACGTCCTCCTCAGACTCTAGAAGCACTTCGAGAGGAGTTGGTGGTTGCCTGGAATAAGATACCACAAGAGGACATTGACCACCTGATCAGAAGCATGCCTAGGCGCGTTGGAGAATGCGTAGCACATCAGGGTGCATCCACACATTATTAAAGGTCAAAGGACTTTAAAGCAGTGCAATCATTTTGAAACTTTTATCATTTACTTATTATGCTTCATTAAGTAATTATACAAAATTTTATTAAAATAAAACCATTTAAACTGGGTTTATTATATGAATTGTGACTTCAATTAAATCTGAATAAAGAATTAAGAAAATCAGTCTCATCACTAAATTTGCAGACAAATTTTAGCAAATGATCTAATACCTACTTACTTTGTTTTCGTGTTCTTAAGCGTAAAATAGTAGGAAACATCATTAGGCAACATTGCTGCTGATTTTTGATCTAAAAAATCTGCATATCGGAGTCTTGGTGTCATGACATTTTTGAAGGAAGGAAGCATTATACAATTGATTACATATTGGCATAAGTCTGATACCGAAAAAAAGACCGTACTTTTTTTACACACAAATGACAGTGACGTTACACCCCAGAAACAATAATTTCTTCCACTGCTGTGGCAACAATGTCGACGTTTTATCTTTGTTTCTGTTTACCTTCGTTAAAATGTTATCTCTTGGTTTTGTGAAGAATTTTTAGTATTTTTCAGTTATTGCCCTTTCATTTCTTAGTGTCAAGCATAACAAAATTCCTGGGCGCGCCCAACACGTTATAATTTTTTTTATCACTTGTGAATGATGATCGTTTCATTCTTGATGTAAGACTACCTCATTGCCAAAAAGTCAAGATGAAGAAATTATTTTTTTCTGGGTTGTAGCACTGAGTATACAGGGTGGCGCATCGAAAACGAAACAGACGCATTTACTGGAAGCTCAGTTTTTTTTTAGCAAAAAATCACGTTAACACGGGGTGACATCAACCATAAAATCTTAAATGGAAAGGGGGTCGAGTGATACCTCATTTTAAAGGTCTTTCAATTCCGTTTATAATGATATAAAATTAATGTACTTCATTTCAGTAGTTTTGAAGATTTACTGATGTAAAGCTTAAAGTAGACTTTAATAGGTACATCGGATCAGTTTGTACTACTTTCACAAAACTAAAAGAATTTACTTAATGAGTAAATGCTTTTCTTCATTAAACCCATGGTTTGTCTATCATTTTGTTGTTGAAAATAGCTATTGGAGCGTTTTTTTTGTGGCAAAAAGTTATTTCTTGAAGGAAGATAAGGAAATATCTCGTACTTATTTTAAATAGGAATTTAGTACATAGTTTGCGATTGATTTCACCAAACTTTGTTGCTAAAATAACTTGTAACGCTTTATTACATAAATTAACCATGGTAGAAAGAGTTGAAATTTATCATGAGGTTCATACACAGCAGCCACAAAAATTAAATGTTTGGGCTGGTATTTTTTTGGCGATCATTTAGTTGGTTTTTTCTTACCTGGAAATTATAGTATTAGTCATTGGGCTATTGGATATTTTATCATATATTTATTATTTGGAAATCTGTACATCAGCATTTGTCTCTACTTTAACGAAACATCTCCGTAGGCACCAAGTCTTTATAATTAATTTGTGGCACTTCGTGATTGTGTTCATGCATCACCCTGATCTGCCATCCGTCGTGAACAGGCAGCATTTGCATTTCGTCCTGTGTATACTCTTGCAACGCCATCTAGATTTATTCTGTTCTTTGTAGTGGAGGATGTACTCGTAGCCGCGTACGACTATCTTCGGGTGCTTCCGTACTTTTCCGAGTAGATGATCTCTAAGATGGAGATGGGATTGAAAATAGTTAGATCTACGTATTGCTTGGAAAGCTTATAATAAAATCATGAAAAATGTTATAATCTGTAACACGTAAAATGTCTCACTTGGTAATGACTCGAACCGAACCAAAGCAGCCCAAAGATGCGATGGTACTCGAGGCTGTTTCTGGGTCTTGTCTTCACAGGGTTTTATTTGCAAATAAGGCTATATTACATAAATCTGCGAGAAAACGATTGTGTGAATCTTACTTGTTTTCAAACATAGATATTAGAACGAGAAATCGTATTCAAACTATTAGGAATATATGTTGCAGACTTGTAAATGATCTCTGGAAGTCTGATCATATATCGAAGGCCAAATGGATGAAAATTGATAAAATGTATAAATACCAGCTACTAATCTGACTCGTAGGGAACTTTATTCAATGCACTGTCATATTTAGTAGCCAAATTCATACGTACAGGAAATATGCATCACATTAAGATTAGATATATAGAGAGAGACAGAATACAATTATTTACAACGCGATCAAATTACATATATAAGTAGTTTAAAAGAACTAATTCGTTACCTAAACTCAAGAAAAAACTGAAAGAAATTCTACTTAATCAGCAGCAAAATCTGTTGTAACCCGTGTGTTAACTGACGTTATGTTTTATTTATGCCTTTACATTGATTATACTTTATTTTGTCGTTATTGTATGCAGGTAATAATTATCAACAAATTTTCAGTTTATATACATCTCATATTGTTAAGGCGGTTAGGTGTTATAATAGATACCGTATCTAAATCTCGCCTCGTATAGTATTATTACAAATGAAAAAGACGTTGATTATTATTGTTATTAAATGAGATTTGAATATACAGGGTGTCCGCAAAGTTGGGGTTTTCCTTTACAGAAACAACTACCCTTGAAATAACAAAGGTAATGCGTAGTGAAACGAGGGCGACCAAGTAAAAAAAAATTAAGAAAACAGTACTCACTCTCCAGTTGACGAGAAGGGCTAAGTACGTCTCTGCCCGAAATCATACCGCTCCAACAGAAAATGAAATCAGCTGATGCGCTACCGAGCAGACGCCGGCGGTGGTGCAGACCACGAACAGAGGTAACAAATATGACCATCGTGCAGAAACCACATTGATTGTCTTACACTTAATGGCACATCTTCTAACAAGGAAGGCAAAATGTTGCGTAAAAAGTCTAGGTATTGCATCCCGTCCAATCGATTTGGGAGAATAAATGGTCCAATGAGCATACCGTTCACCATGCCAGCCCAAAGATTCACCGAAAATGTTTGTTGAAAATGTGTCCGACGGACAGCGTGCGGATTTTCTACTGACCAAACATGAGTGTTGCGAAAGTTATTCACCCCATTACGCGTGAACGTAAATTCGTCTGTCACCAATATGCACTTCAAAAAGTCTGGATTATTGTCATGTTGATGCAACAACCACTCAAAAAACGCACTCTTGCTGAAAATCGTCAGGTTGAAGGGCTTGTACACGTTGACGTGAAACGGATACAGCCCCTCTTCACGCAGCGTTTGCCACACTTTAGTTTTTGATACTAGCACTTCTCTAGTGCTTGTTGTTTTCTGAAACGCAATCGATTATACGGGTTCGTTTACCTCTACACGCGTGACCGTAACCGTGACCTGACACACTGACCCCGACCCAGTTCTGTCGTCGGGTTGAGCTAGTGTCCTAGTACCATTCGGGGATATCGCGGCTACAGGACGGTATTCAGATATTTTTGATGTTGCAGAGCCCTTTATCTCGGTTCTCTTAAGACATTGGTGTATATGGTACTAAGAAAAATTGCTTATGTTTCCAAGATCTACACGTCGTGTAAAGGAAAACCCCAACCCTGTATAAAATAGAAATATTTCTGTTAAGGGAATAATATTTAAGGAATAACATTCAACAACTCATGTGAAAAATCTTTATATTCAACCATCAGTCTCAAGCAGAATCGTCTTCGTAGGTACCAACAGTCAACAAACAACCCACGCAAAAACCTGCATACTCAATCAGCATCGGTTTTAAGCAGAATCATCATCGTAGGTACTAGGTTCTCGTAATTTATAATCGGTCCTTCATGGTTATGCATATGCAGTACTTTGATATGTCTTCCTATGGTGTGCAGGCGGCTTTTGCATTTCGTCTTGCTGATATTTTTGCAGCGCCATCTAGCTTTGTCCTGATCCTTGTAGTGCAACATGTACTCGTAACCACGAGCTACTACTTTCGGATGGTTGCGGGCCCTCCCGAAGTACACCATTTCTACGGTTAGATGGGATTAGAAAAAAAATACGGTTCATTTGGATACGCTATAGAGAGAAGTGTATTTTTTGAAACTACAAAGAAATCTAACTAGCCATGAAACAGAAGACGTTTGGAAAGAATCGCTTATCATTCCAGTCCCCCCAATCTTACAGTGATCTACGACCAAATTATCTAAAAAGACCATGTTTTCCCAATTTAATGCTTATTCAATTCAATGATGATGACTGCTTTTGATAATGATTATGCTACACCTTTATCGTTTCTTGATTTTTGAATTAACAACGAACTCTTATTAATTACCTCATGTGCAAAGCTTCGCTCTCATGTAGCCATCGATAGCAAAAATGGATTTTTAGCACCTTAAAGTCGCAAAAAACGCATAGCTTTGCAATTTTTCGCTGAATTATTAGATCTACATGATAAACGGGATCACATACATGTAAAACGACCTCGGATTCGGTATTGGCAATCCAACATACGTGGAATAAAGGTCATTTGAACCGCATTTAAAGCATTTTAACATATAATTACATGTATAGGGGTACTGTTGCCAAAAATGCACAAAATTGGGAACGCAACATATCTTATAATACGCTTTTTGGGTCGCTGAAACCGAATCCATGGCCCATTCCGCCCGAAAATGCCTCGTTTTCAAGATACTGGCAAGAATTCAACTTTGTAAATTACGTCAGATAAAAATGTTTAAAAACTGTTGCACGTCTATGATCGAGATGAAAATTTGTTTTCTGAGTAAATCGGATGCGTAGATTCCAAATTCGATGTCGATACATTGCTAGAATCTACGGCTGGCCCGGAAAAATAGTTTCTTGTCAACTTTTCACCGTTTTCAACAATTTTTGTAATCATTTCGTTGGTTTTAACGTTATGTTTATGTTGCCAGTTGTTGTTGTTCATTACCCCTAATATGTTAAAATTTTCCAATTAAATTAATAATAATTTTGCAAGTTAGACAATAGAACGGTTTTTTTTTTCTCAAAAATGACGCATCGAAGAAAAACAATTCAAGAGAGATGATTTGTTTTAAATTGAACGGGAAATTAAAAAATAATTTTTGTTTGGCAAAAAACCATTGCCGTACCATTTTTTTCTTAAAAAATATCGAAGTCAACACCCGTACGCACGCCACTGTTAAGGCTAAAAATTATTTTTGTATTGGAAAATATGGCACTTTATTAACTTTCACTACGTACTAAATATCAGTAAAATATCTGAAGTGGTTCTGAAAATATTAATTAATTTCCATTTTTTTTTCCTAAAACTTCAACACCTCGAGTTTTTGTAAGGAAACATTTCCGGACCATAGTTTATAAAACAAAATAACATCAATTTTAGACCCTTAAATATTCGCATATCAATAAGGAACACCCTGTAAACTAAGTGATATATAAAATGCAACACCCAGAAGTATTTATTGGATTTTAATAAAAACTTGTAAACATATCAACATAAGTCAGAATCGTTGGTCAAAGTTTCCATATGACTTTCTGAAATTTCTAACCCGCGCAATTGTTGTTCACATGTCAACATTCGTGGAATTCACAATTCACCTTATAAATTAAAAACTAACTATCAAGACACACTCAAATTTTGCAAGTAGGCCACTATTTGACATATTATGCGTGTGCGTTCCAACTGTTTTTTTCACGGCTAGGTAGATTTCTTTTCTGATGTCTCTAACGCCACCTCCCGGCAAAGTTTGGAAATTCGTTATTCAAATGTGTCTATCCATTTTTATGACGTTTCATGACCCTCTCAAACACCCTCACAAAATTGCATAAATACAACGAATTAAACCAAATGTTTAAGTATTCAGTAATGCTCAATGCTTTTTTGTATAGCTCCGAGACACCTGAAGCCCAACTCAATAAAAATCAGCGCTTGGTTTGTATAAGTATTACAACCGTTGCAACGCCATCGAGTGCAATGGCAGCTTTGGGAATCTTTTCTAGTGTGGTATGCAGCATTATCAAGTACAATGACGACATTGTCGTCAAGCTTTGGGAGCGGTTCTTCAAACCATCGTTCACATGAACTCCCGTCCATTTCTTAACGGTAGTCGGTAATTTTCTTTGACTCAAATGCCCTTAGGGTAGTGAGCATAAAGCCATATTCCCTGCCAACGTGACAGATAACAAATCGTTTTGCTTTCACTCTCATAAACGTTAACGACAATTTCTTTTGCCTGAATATTCAAATGTCCCTTCTTGACACGTTTTCGGGGAGGAGACATCACTGAAGAGGAAGCGTGGCTGACGGAACGCTATGAACAACAACTGCCGGCGTCGGCGAGCCGGCGATACCTCGGGCCTGAGTTCTATCCTGTCGAATCCTGCATCTGTTCGTCGCTGTTGCAACGCTTAGGCGGCTGCCGCTACGCCGCGCTGTATCTTTGTTGTGCCGGTGCGTAGATGGACTACGAATAGGGTATAGTGATCCGCGGAGGGACGAGAGTAGTAGGGTCACACTGCCATCTTAGTCGAATTGCAGGGGGGATTCCGTCGTTCGGAGCAACGGTGTTCTGATCTCCTCCAAATACCGCTTTAACCGCAAGTTAAATATGGAATATTCGACGAGAGCGGAGAAAGTTCTCCGAAGGGAGTGGACGTGTCCGGTAAGGGTCTTTGGACCTAGGACTAGGCTCTTACTCCCTATCGGCGAACACACCACTATTTTTCTAGTCGCATTTTGGAGAGGAAATGGCCTAGGAGAAGAATAACAATCTTCGACGATGAGACGTCACCTGCATGTGATGGAGGTGGCTAAGAATAACAGGCAGACTGTACTGGGGTCCAAAACTTTGGATCCCCAGAATGTTAAGGAGTTGGGCCTCAGGGCTATACTCAGCTTTGCTAGGAGGTCGGAGCTTGATACATATCATTATGTCATATCTGTCTATTCAAAGACGTTAAAAGAGGATTGTCATTTGCGGTTTTAAAGTAATTCCGATACTATTCCATTATTCAAAGAGCTCTTGAGGGAGATAATATACAATATACTCTGACATTTTAACAAAATAAATATCTATGCCCCACAAGGATTTGGTGGACTCTTTACTAAGATGATGCTAAACGAAACCAAATAAAAACATAATATTTTTATTAAAATGAACAAAAGTTACACTTATACCAAATATTTTGCAGTTTTTATCTACCGAGTACAAAATTGGTGCCGATAAAAATATTCCATTTTTTTAAAACACGTAATACACTGAGAATATTTTACCTCAAAATTCTGAATTGTTTAAAAAAAATGAGAGCAATTAGGCAATCAAAGGGCAGAACGTATAAAAAGTCAGTCGTTTGTAATAGAGACTGTTTTTTCAATAAGTAATTATTGTGTCCCGAAAGTACGAGGTCTGTCAACTAAGTGATGAGACCGGCAACGTAGCGTTCGATCTGGCAACACTGGAGGCGCCTAGCTTAGGGAGGAAACAGGGGAACATGTGATACGTCTTCGATACAAGTTTGGACTCGCTCGAGTCATTTGGTTGTTTAAGACATTTTCAGAAGGGAACTCGTTTTAAGGAAGTCGAAAACATTAAAACGGATGTAACCGACCAGCGGAAGACTATTCCAGTATCGGAATACTGCACAGTTATGAGGAGGGAAGAGCCGTCTCCGGCGCTGTGTGGCTTCAGAAGGAAGTTAAGTTTTATATATAAAATTGTAATTACATTTAAATAGAAAAACTAAAAAAAAAAAATCAGTTAATCCACAGACCTCGTAATATACAGGGTGACTTTGAAGTTGAGTCATTAATTTTCAGATAATGATTGTAGAAGGAAGATAAACCAAAATATGTGTGTAAAAATAAAAAAAAAATTTACCTTTTTTTATAAAGTATCCTCCCGACAAGTATTTCAGTACGGACCCGTATTTGATCGTGAGGTCTTGGAGCACCGGCATGCCCTCCCCGGTGAGGTCTTAAGTCACCTGATTCACGAGCCCGTTGTACTACATTAACAAAGGCACGAGGGGTTGGTTGCACTCGATTGGGAAACCGATCCGCATAAACATGTGCCATTTTTTATTTCGTTTGAGCCAAGCAGCAAACACCACTATTCACTCACGCGTTACCGACTGACACATTGACTGAATAAAAACATCGTGATCAGCGTTTCAAATTATTTCGCTTTTTTGTTTCCGATGCGATGAACCGATAAGGCGGCTTATATCCGTTGTTGCCAAACACGAGCACATAATATTATTATTGAGACAGGGCGGTACTCAAACTTGTAAAGGGCTATAACTTTGTTACTTTAATTTTACCACAAAAATGTTAAAGGAAAAAAACATTTCTTTTGATCAGATCTACTCACTGTTGAAATAAATGACTCAACTTCGAAGTATGTATTGAAAATATCTCCTTAATTGGAAAAATTGTAAATCCTTGAAAACAATGAACGTTTAAAGATCCAGTATATTGGAAAATGTCAATAAAATCGTGCAGGTTTAACTCCTTGCACAAGTGACGTTGACTGCATCGGCGGGAGGCAAAACATTTGAAAAAAAAATCACTTAATTTCCTAAACCCAAATCTTCAGCCTAAAAATAAAATACGAGCCTTTTCAGCTATCTAAATACTTATATTTTCGTTTATTGTTGCTCATTGGATATTTTTTCAAGCTGCAAAGTGTTTTCATCCAAGTTTCAACCAGCTGGGGATTTTTCAGTAAAACAAATGAGTATTCTCGGGTTAACAGAGTATATGTAGTTACAAACAAAATTAACTAACGCAATCATTCGTGTTTAGAGTATTTAACTATTTTCACATGTTGCGGTACGAGTATGGCGTCACTCTTGATCACATGCGGTCTGTGGTTGTGTTGATTCTTCACCCTAACTTCGTTTCCTGACGTGTACAGCGAAGCGCTGCATTTGGTTTTGTTTTGGTTTTTGCATCTCCACCTTGTTCTATTGGCCTCTTTTATGTGACAGTTGTATTCGTAGCTATCCAGTATCAGTCTTGGATATT